GGCAGACTCCACTAGCTGAAACAGGATCAAATATATATATATATATATATAGACACACACACACCTAAAAAGGTCAATTGGGTCTTTTCAGATCACAGTGAATAGCCCTAGCCCTACAAACTGCAATTCACTGCAATGTCTCAATGGCAATATACAGCACTGAATAGAGCACTGTATACAGTGTAACACTGTATAGCTCTGTAGCAGTACAATAGCACAGTAAAATAGTACAAATCTCTCTCTCTGCCTAAAAACACTTGCAGCTTCCCCTTACTACAAACTCTAACACACTGACAAAGGGCTGTTGGGAGAGCAAGTTTTATAGTAAGGGGCTGGGACTTTGGCCAAGAGCCATCACTGACCAAGCTATTGCACCATATGGTCGTGCAATAATTTTTGCCAGTGGTAGAACATCACACAACATGATTCTTAGTGTATAAAAAAAGGATTGTATAAAAATTGTATATTCACATTGTGGACAGCCATGGCCATCTTTGCACAGGTTCACCATATGTGAAGAGGTGTCCCTCTTGTGTGACATCCTTCAAGCATTTTAATATAAGATTACATGAGTCATTTTAACGCCACTTGCTGGTTTATCTCACAATAACTTATTAGAATGGTCAATGCACAAAAATAAGTATCCATAAAAGGATATCATGAAATTAACACCTTTTTCTTAATTTGGATTTTATTCCCAATGACTTCTTTTCCTGATCTCTTCAACAGACACCTCAGAAACTATAAGTTTCGTTTTGACTTTTATGTGTGGTTGTATGGTAAGAATATGTGTTAAATGTGATGTGATGTGTTAAAAATACCACATCATTTGGTAAAAATACTGAAAGAAATTGTCAGGAACGTAGAACTAATGCCCATAGCATGAGGAGGGCTCGAGTTACTACACGCACTATGCAGAAACGTGCATAGTGACAGACGAGCAGTAACATGTGCATGTGCAACGTGCGCATAATCACGTGCAACGTGCACGCGCCCAGTGCACGAATTGGCGCCAATCGGCCTATTTAAACCCCAAGTAGCAACTGATAGTTGCTGGAAGATCTCAGCTGTACCTGTACCTGTGTTCCTGTATCTGAATCCTGTGACTGACCCGGCTTGCTCCTGTTTCCTGCTGTCTGCTGCCTGCTGCCTGCCTTCTGACCTCGGCTTGTCTAACTATTCTCCTGCCTCCTGATTCGGCTCCGACCTGTCTGTTTGGTTCTGACCCGGCTTCTACTGACCATGTCTACCATCCGGATTCTCCTGGCCTGCCAGCCACTGACCCAGTCTGCCTAAAGCCTGCATCCTGCATCTGGCTGCCTGAATCCTGCATCTGGCATCCTGCATCCTGCTGCCTGAATCCTGCATCTGGCATCCTGCATCTGGCTGCCTGAATCCTGAATCTGGCTTCCTGCATCCGGCTTCCTGCATGCTGGATCTGGCTTCCTGCATACAGCTTCCTGCATCCTTACCAGCAGGTGATCAGCATCCACAGGCACTGGTGTCTCTCTACGTCCGTGTGCTACCTGTGCCATCTCCAGGGGTGCTCTGACGAGAGTTACAAAAGGAGCCTCCCTCATCATTCAGACCATACCAGGTACGTGACAGAAATATAGTATTTGAACTGGGAATGTCAGGTAAGACCTGTGTAAGCTTTAAGTCAATTTAGCTGGAGCTTACTAGATGCTAAGGAATCTTTATTGTCCATGTGAAAGCGTTGGGTGCATGAGAAGCCAGCAAAAAAGCACCAACAATTTTGCATGATAAGAAGTACCGTATTTTGCGGTCCATAAGACGCACCGGACCATAGGAGGCAGGGAGGTCCGGCGCACCTTATGGAGCACTCGAGACTGTAGCTTCTGTCACAGCTTCTATGACAGAAGCTGTGACAGAAGCTGCAGTTAGTGACCGCTGAGACAGGTGGCGCTGTGATTACAGCGCCACGGTCTCAGTGATGACACAGAGCAGGCGAAGAACGTCTATTCTTCGTCTGCTCTATGGTTATCTCGATCGTCGCCGCTGCTCGGCTTTAATACGAGTGATCTCATTAGATCACTCGTATTAAACGAGCAGTGGCTCCTGCTGCTGAACTCGATCGCCGCCGCTCGGCTTTAATACGAGTTATCTCATTAGATCACTCGTATTAAACGAGCAGTGGCTCCTACTACTCGCCCGGCGCCCGAAACTGCATGTCTCGGGCATCGGGATTCGCTCCATAAGACGCAGGCACTTTTTCCCCCTCCTTTTGGGGGAAAAAAAGTGCGTCTTATGGAGCGAAAAATACGGTAGACTGTGTCAGATGCTCTCCATACTTGGAAGGTATTTCTCTTCGATCAAAAAGGACAATGGAGAAGTGTAGAGCTCAATGCAAGGTCTGTATCCACAGCTGGGGTGGAGGTGCTTAAGTAAACCTGTTGCTTTGCCTTGCATGGACAAACCACAGTTCATATTAAAGTGGACCTTTACCCCCTTTCACTAAACATCACATTAGCTGATATGAAATCATGTTACATTCATTAGTTAAACAACGATATATTGCTTTTACTTACAATTACTGTTTCCCCACTTCCTGGTCCTCTTAGGCATTGGTGATGCAGCCCTTGCCTAACAGATGTATCCTGGGAAGGTTATATCAGCAGTGCTTTGCTGGGAAATCACATTTATAAACTGCAAAATTTCGCAAGAGCTCAGGGCAAGGCATTTTTCCACTGACATTATGTGCACGGTCACATGTTCTAGTCACATGTGCCAGATTTCAGGAAGTAAAGGGAAATGGCTTCAGTTTCTCTTAGTAAAAATGGAGACGATGAGAAGAAAATTAAAATAATGTATGCAAAGAATAAAAAGCCTGCCATTATCTAGTATTAAGGGTGAAGTGCCTCTTCAAGTGAAAATGACACATTTTACTTAAGTCCTGTGTAATAAAAATGGTTCTGTTAGAATGGAAGGCCTTGTCTGCTGACTACCTATTCAATGATGAAAGTAAAACCTAATACTAACTTCCACACATATTGTAAAAGAGAAGTAAGTTAAAGTAATGCTACATTCCACAATGAACTATACCTATCACTTATCCTCTCCTTCAGCTTTTTTATCAGAGGATAAAAGAGCTTTAATTATTAAATAATAAGGTCAAGTTAAGACATTACATCTGTTTGCTTTGGTGTCTCACATAATTCTTCCCTGAAAAACTTCTCAGTAGTTAATGATTTATGTGATTTAACACACTTTCCACAGAGGAATCACATTATACATTTTTAACCACATTTTCAGAATATCAACACAACAAATGCAATAGCAATTAATATTTGAGAAACTGAGTAATTCAATACAAAGTAAGGACTGTGTGGTGTTAATTTACTTAAGGGTATTAAACCTTCCATTACCCTTTTGCCCCCACCTTCCTGAGCTGAAGTAGACCACCTCTCTCCTTCCAAAGCTCTATACTTACTGAGTTCTTGCCCAGGACAGTGGGGTTGAGAGACAGATCAGATCCAGCTTTACTGAAGTCTATAGGGTTCTACTGTGCATGCATAGACATCGGTTGAAGAACCTGGCCCAATAAATGTATACATTGCAGCAGGCTTTGGCAGCAGGAAATTGGTAAGCATAGTACTTTGGAGGGAGCAGGGCTACTTTAGTTGAGGGGAGTGTAAAGAAGGTAAAGGGATTTTGTTTGAAGGTTTCCTTGCCATCGAAGATTTTGTGTATTCAATTATCCCAGTAAATCTGTTCCAAACATCCACATGTAAGGGAATTTCCAGTTTTTTTGCATACGAGTTGATTTTTTTGAAGTAAACTGGGTAAAGTGTAAAGGTTACTTTTTTTTAGTAAATTATCCCTCATGTGGCTATAATTCAACACCATTTTTTGAGATTCACATAGCATGTTTTGTGTAGTATACTATCATTAAATATTAAGTAGAATGTAAAACGGTCTTACCATATTTATTGAAGACACTGGTCCAATGCTGTTAACATAAATGTCCACATCAATAACAGTGGGCTTAACTGTGAAAAAAGAAAATAATATATATGTAACCTAAGTTCACCACAGGCAACCCTTAGGCAAGAAGAAATGATCACAGTGAAATAACAGAAGAAATTTTTTTACACAGAATATGTACATACTATAGTGAATTTCTACCACAATTTTGCTTAGATTTATAAAGCGGTTCTAAATGCTTTCACAAAATGTACTTATTTACTTGAAACTGAACTCCAGACAAATATAAAGGCACAAATTAGTGCAGCTCTGTAATCATTAATACATAAATAAATGGTAATATAAGCAGTGTAAATGCCTGAATTTGTCTTAAACTAGCCTCTTGCAATCTACTGTACAGGAGACCTCAGACCGGGAAGGGAGAATCAGCACAAGGAGCCAATCAGGTGTGCTGTAGTGCAAAGAGCTTACTGATAGATGGCGAGAGCAAGATGAAAGAGATGAGCTCATCAGTGTGCTGCTTTTTCTTCACCATCCAGTCACAGGGCGGGGGTGCAGAGGAGTCAACATGGTATTTTCGGTACTTTCTGCCCTGATCTGGAACAACAGTGCAGATATGAAGCCCTGACTTCAGTCTCACTTTTCTAAATTGAATGCTGTTCCAAGATATTGGGGTTGATTTACTATAGGCAAATAGGCTGTTCACTTTGCAAGGAAATTTGCACAGGAAGTTTCCCCTTAGTTTAGTGAATGTGGGGAAGCTCTGCTTACTTCCATTACCCAATCATGTGCAAGCAAAAATACAGTTTAAAAAAAAAAATTCCTTGCACATGAATAGGTATTCTTTGCAAAGTGAAATTTCACTACCTTCATCATGCTAAAGGGAAACTTCCCCTGCAAAGTGCAAATTCCCTTACAGTGTGAACAGCCTATTTGCCTTTAATAAATCAAGACCATTGGTTTAAAAATGAATGAAGCCTCAACAAACAGACAACTATCATTTTCAGTAGGGATGTCCCGATACCGATACTAGTACCGGCATCAGGGCCAATACATGGCACTTTCAGGAGCACTTGTACTCCTGAAAATGCCCCGATGCATAGAGCCGATACCGGCCCTTTAAACTTTTTTCAAAGAGCTTCGGCCATTGACCCGCATAGTCCCTCCCCCGGAATACCTCTCCACCAAACGCAGGCTCCCTCTCCGCTCTGACCTCTCTGGACAGAAGTGTGACAGCATGGTGGGTGGTAAGTGTTCTGTGAAGTGTCTCTTCTCCCTGCTGGTGCTGGCTGCAGTGGCCTGTGTCCCTTACAATGTGTCCCCTCCTTTTAAACTTGATGAAACTTTGCTTTTGGTGATATATCCCAATGTTTGAGATGTCCGTGCTCCTTATGTGTAATGCAGTCACCCGACGTACACAGCAGTTTTCACTCTCATTGAAAGAAGAGAATGTCCGTTCTGTATGCTCACGGGGGAGGAGAGGAGAGAAGCTGTAAATTTTGCCTTCACACAGAACGGACCTTCTCTTCTTTCATTGAGAGGGAAAACTTCTGTGTACGTCTGGTGAGGGCATTATTAAACACATAAGGAGCACAGACAGTTGACACTGAGATATACCACCAAAAGCAAATAGTTTAATCAAGTGGAAAAGGAATGGACACATGTAACAATATCCAGCCTGCTATTGGATATTTTAAATTGCAATAGCAGGCTGGCAATTGTATCCTCCCATTGCCTGCTGTCAATCAGCAGAGAGGACTTGATAGAGAACTTTGTCTTCAGTTCCCTCCTTTGCTGATTGACAGCAGACAGTGGGTGGGTACAATAGCCAGCCTGCTATTGGCTATTGCAATTTAAAATATCCAATAGCCACTGCCTGCTGTATTTACATTCAGTGAATCCAGTGAAGTGCAAAAGGTGACACTAGAGGTCTAAAAGACCCCTAATGTCACCTTAAAGAGAACCTGTCACCTCCAATGCACGCAGCCCTGGTGCGAAACTGCCCTAAAATCATTCGTCTGTATTGTTTTAGAAAAAATGTCACATGTCCCTTTAAGAAAAAGTATCGGTACTTTACAATACACACAGGGACCATGGGGAACAAATGTAGCCACCCTCCAGAAGGAAGGACAGGGTCAGCATGAGCATTAAAGGAGAACTATGAGGTGAGTGCTCTTCACTCACCTCATAGTTCTAGCCAACCTGTGACAATGAGACTGTCACAGGTCGGCTCAGTAGATCGAGAAGTGAGTGAACATATACCGGCGTTCGTTTACCTCTCGATCCTGTCACAGCTCTCTGCCTGCCGTGACTGGGGAGGGGCTGGATCGCTGACTGGTGGATCGGACGGGGAGGAGGCGGGTACAGCTGGCTCTGCCTCTAGACAGGCAGAGCCAGCTGTCACTCACGCAGCTCGGCGGATCCAGACATAATTGTCGGGATCTGGTTCAGCTGCAGCATCTCAGTATACTGCAAGCAGCAGCTCGCGGTATACTGTGGCGTCTCAGTATACTGCGAGCTGTAGCTTGCGGTATACTGAGCTTAGGGTGACGGGAGGATGCTAGTTTGTGTCCTCCTGTTACCCTTAGGAGAACTATGGGGAAAAGCCTTAACCCCATAGTTCTCCTTTAACTCATGAGTTTAGTGTCACTTTAATTTTTTGTCCTTTGGTTATAAGTGCAAATGAAGTGTCCTTTTTAAAACAAATGAGACATGAAATAATACATAAAACATGAGAAAGAAAAATTGCGGACAGGCAGGTAGGAGATTTTTGGCAGAGACTTACAGTCTCTTGCTATAAAAAAAATCTGCCTGTCAGCAATTTTTCTTTCTCATGTTGAGATAAAATAACTCCAGACGCCGCAGCTAAACCAGATCCCGACAATTATGTCTGGATCCGCCGAGCTGCGTGTGAGGGAGTTACATCATGCTGATTGGCCAATAAAGACGCCGAAGATGCCGAACCCTGAAGAAGATTGGGAGAAGATGGTAGTGGCAGTGATGGAGGGGAGTGCAGTGCTGGAAGGTATCGTTTTGCAAGGTAAGTTGGCCATAATGTGCCCATATGCTGAGCACATTATAACAAACACCACTGCAGCACTTGTTTTTAAACCCACATAACTTCCGCTTTAAATACATCTTTAAGCACCAAGAGGAAATGGTGTAATGTGGGGAATATCTGACATTTTACATGTGATCTTTTCATGCTATTGTTTGTAAAACCCACAGGAGAAACAACACAACTGCCGTTGAAGGGTGATAATAAGTATGTACATGACATAAAGTATTAATAATTAGAAACACTCAAGTAATAATGTGCAATAAATTGCATCAGCAACCCAATCAACAACATAACTGGTAAGGGTGGTATGCCTTTCTTACACCCACTGCTTACCTCACTTCCCTATGTATACTCGTAAAAGAGTGAAATAGACATAGTAACCCCACAAAAAAATGTTTCCTTTTGGATCTATTCAGATTTTTATTTTTCATTCTTCGGATTTCGTATCCGAAATTCGATTCGGTTTGTTATGTGGATTTTGTATCCGTGCAAATTTTCGTTTTGCAAAGATTCACAACAGAAAGTCACATGCCTGTAATGCAACCCCAACAGACCAAAAAAATCTGATTGGCCAGAGAACAGTCACATGCCTAAAATTTTGACAGATTCAAATTTTTGTTGAACATTCGGATTCATTGGCATTCGGACGTGTTCAAATTCAGAAATTCGCAAGCATCCAAATGTCAGAATTTAATGGAAATCATGCGAATATCCATTGGGAACCAAACAAAATTACATGTCTAGAGTAGAATATGGTACACACAGTAGTTAAGAGTCTCTAGAGTCTACACATTGCCGCTCCTTCTTGCTTTATATATGTTTCTTAGCAACTGTCAATTATTCATACAAGCTTAATCGTTAAAGTTATTGAGTCATAAATCCCTCTATTTAATTCCTGGATTTTCTTCATTAATTAATTAAATCCATGGTGATTAGTTAAATTATTGCTTGCATAAACAATAAGGAAAAAGGTTATTATTTAAAAATAAAGTATGAATGTGTTTATGGTATACATAGTTCCCCTCGGTATACTTCATATTTTTGTCTAGTGAAAATATTGACTATGGATGTTTTCAAGATAAAATTACAGTTACAACATATAAACAAATGCTCTAAAATATTGAGTGTTAATTACCTCAGTTAACTTTGTATATTGTTTTTTGATCATTTTAAAATTATAGCTGACAATTCCCCAAAATGCTTTACAGAAGTAAATAGGGAATTTTACAATTGTTTACCTGCCAATTCATAGGAACAAAAATCTACACAATAGACCTGATTTGCCAAATTATGCAGTGAAATAGCCACAGTGAAGCAACACGTTTATTTCAAACATCCAACCATGGGCAAGTAAAGCTCTACTATAAATCCCATCATGCCCCTGCCACTGGGAGTTATGCTTGTGGCTGTCAGTCTCCCAATGCTTGTCAGACTTCTAGTGGCAAACATACAAAGTGCCTCAGTTGCCTGTTGTATGGGCTTTTTCCACAAAGCTAACACACCTGGATCGGGATACCTATTTTCAAATAAGTGACAATTATTTTCAGCTAAGTCAAATGAGATTTGAAAATTTATAGTCACAGGGCTAAAATAGAGGTCCTTATTCTTGTGTTGAAGCTTTGTAACTAGAACCTTATGCATTCAAAGAAACAATGACCCAACTTTTTTGGCCATAGTTCTCCATAGGGTAACAGGAGGACATTTACTATGTCCTCCTGTGACACAAAATTCAGCATATAGCGGGCTATTGCCTGTTATATGGTGACAGCACACCCCTACCCGATTGATGGCTGGCTCTGCCTCTAGAGCTGTGCCCGCCCCCCCTCCCGATTCGTCCCTCCAGTCAGCACTGGAGAAAGGATAGGGGAAGGGGGAATCCCTGCGTGAAACGGTGACTGAGAGTCACTGCTCTCTGCAGGGAGAAGATCGGAAATTGGCATGTGATCACTCTAATTATCGGGACCAGGGTATTTCCCTCTACCCAGAATTATCCTTTAGAGTGTG